CTTTTTTCTCTTATGGACTTTAAAACAATATGATCACCTCCTTTCACTTCATTTTACCTTAGCAACCAATCAGTTTGGTTCTGCCCAGAAAGCAGCTCCATTTGTCTCTATCTTTACCAGTGCAACAGTCAATCAGTCAACAAGTGTTAAATACCTGGTATGGGCCAGTCTGCCTAGTATGGACTAGACTCTGGGGTTACAGATGCAAAGACTGACACTCCCTTGACACAGATACTTCACATTCTTATTGAGGGAGACAACAAATAACTTATAAATACCTAGCATAAATATAAAATGAATAAATACAACTGCGTAGTTTTGAATACAAGATATTTTGGGAAGTATGTTACCAACAGATGGGGAAATCAGGGAAGGTTTTGTGCTGAAGATGGTGTCTGAAACTGTTCCATCTCAGCTGCCTAAGCTGAGAGAGATTTTTGGGGAGGGGGGTGGGGATGGAGTGTATTCTAATTATGGAGAATAGCCAGTGAAAAGGCATGGAGGGAGGGTATAAAATTTTGTATGGGATGAACTTAGGGAAGTTGGGTTTGACTGGATCACATGCACGGTGTGGGAAAGCTGGTGATGTCCAGAAAGATAACATTGAGGCCATGATGTATAAGAGGGTGTGCATTATAGGTATGGGAGATGGTTCAAAGGAATAGAGAAAGGAGGCCAGTTTGGTTGAATTACAGAGTTTGGAAGGGGGAGGAACATCTAGTGAGGCTGAAAATGAAGGTTGGGGCTAGATTATGTAGGTGTTTTAAAACTAAACAGAGAAATTTGTGTTTTAATTTAGAGACAAAAGGAAGGCACTAGATGTTCACATTCACAGTTATGATTACTGTATATTTTCCACCATCTCTGTTTATCCTTCTCTCTCTCTCTCTCATCCGCTCCCAACCCCCCTCTTTTTACCCTGTCCCTCTGCAGAAGTTATTTGCTTCTGACCACCACCTTTCCCAGTCCGACCTCCCCACCTTTTCTTATCCTCTTCTTCTGCTTCCTTGTAAGGTAAGATAGATTTCTGTACCCAATTGAATGCATATGTTACTTGCTCTATCAATCAGTTCAGTTGGAGTAAGGTTCAAGCATTGTCTGCTACCTCTACCTCTCATCTTTCCCTTTACAGTAAAAACTCTTTCATGCCTCTGTTATGTGAGATAATTTACCCTGTTCTTTTTCTTCTTTCCCCCTTCTCCCAATGCATCTCTCTTTCTCACCCTTTGATTTTACTTTTTTTAAATATCCCATAATATCTGTCCTATAAAATCAACTCATATTCATGGCCTCTGGCCTAGGTATGATCCTTCAAATTGCGCTAATAATAATGAAGTTCTTAGGAGTTACAAGTATCTTTTTCCCGTGTAGGAATGTAAACAGTTTAACCTTATTGTATTCCTTATGTTTCCTCTTCCCTTATATTTTCTCTTTCCTGTTTACCTTTTTATAATTCTCTTGAGTCATGTATTTGAAAATTAGGTTTTCTATTCAGCTCTGCTGTTTTCATCAATAATGCTTGAAAGCCCTCAATTTCATTAAATGCATTTTTTCCCCTGAAGGATTATACTCAGTTTTGCTGGGTAGGGGATTCTTGACTGTAATTCTATCTCCTTTACTCTGGAATATCATATTCCATGCCCTCTGATACTTTAATGTAGAAGCTGCTACATCTTGTGCTATCCTCTCTGTGGGTCCACCATATTTGAATTGTTTTGTTTTTTTCTTTCTGGCTGCTTGCAGCCTTTTCTTCTTCATCTGAGAGCTCTTGAATTTGGCTGTAATATTCCTGGGAGTTTTCATTTTGGGAGCTCTTTCAGGAGATGATTGGAGGATTCTTTCAATGTCTGTTTTACCCTCTGGTTCTAGGATAACAGGGCAGTTTTCTTGAAAATTTCTTGAAATATGATTTCTAGGCTCTTTTTTATTTTATTTTTTATAAAGTCTTGTAAGATAGTCCAGTATTTCTTAAATTATTTTTCCTCAGCCTCAGGTCATTTGTTTTTCCAGTGAGATGTTTCACATTTTTTCTGTTTTTTCATTCTTTTGATTTTGTTTTATTGTTTCTTGATGTCTCATGTAGTCATTAGCTTCTACTTGCCTGATTCTGATTTTTAAGAAATTATTATCTTGAGTGGATTTTTGTGCCTTTTTTACCATTTGGCCAATTTTGTTTTTTAAGATGATACCTTTTTCTGTGTGTGTGTGTGTGTGTGTGTGCGCGCGCGCGTGTGCGTGTGTGTGCGCGGGCCTCTTTTACCAAGCTATTAACACTTTTCCCATGATTTTCTTGCATCACTCTCATTTCTTTTCCCAGTTTTTCTTCTGCCTCTCTTGATTTTTAAAATCCTTTTTGAGTTCTCTCAGAGACCAATTCACATTTCTTTAAGGCTATCGATGTAATTGTTCTGACTTCATTGTTTTCTTCTGAGTTTTGTTCTTCCCTGTCACCACGGTTACTTTCCACGTCAGATTAGGTTTTGTTGTTGTTTTCCCCTTCGTTCGTATTTCCAGGATACTTTTTGACTTCTAACTTCATATTAAAGTGAGGCAGCACAGTCCCAAGCTTCAGGTTTTTCATGGTCCTGTTTTCAGAGCTAGTACTGGAGGTCAGTAAGTTTTCAGTTCTTCCAAAGGAGAGATGTGGTCACTGTTCTCCTGGCCTGTGCTCTGGTCTGTGAGTGACCACAAGCATTCTTTTCTTCTCTAGAACTGTGACCAGGGTCCCTGTGACCTTGGGGCTCTACTGTGCTACAGCACCTCCCTCCAGAATCATTGGTTTATCTAAACAAGTTTTCTTGTAGTTTAATCTTTTGCTACAACATAAAGCTTTTACAGAACCCTGAATGGCTAGCAGGCAAGCAAATGCTATATAGCATTTAAAAAAAAGTATACTAGCTGTGTGACCCTGGGCAAGTCACTTTACCTAATCCTGTTTGCCCCAGTTTCCTCTTCTGTAAAATGAGCTGGAGAAGGAAATGGCAAACCACTCTAGTATCTTTACCAAGAAAACTCCAAATGGGGTCACAAAGAGTTGGATGTGACTGAAAAATGATTAAGCAACTACATAAAAGAAAGAACTATGATTTTAAAGGCATAATTAGTTTTTGTCATAATGGTCTAGGTAAAATTTGTAACAGTCAGTACTAGTGTCTGCCCATATTTCTCTGAAATGTCCCTTTCATTTTTTCCTGTAGTACAGTAATATTCTGTTACGTTCATATAGCATTTGTTCAGCCATTCCCCAATTAATGGTGATTTCTTTAATTTCTGGTTCTTTGACACTACCAAAAAAAAATGCTATAATATTGGTGTACGTATGGTTCCTTTTCCTCTTACTCAGTTTGGGATCTCATTGAAATGTATGTGTGCATAGTTTAGTTAGTTGTAGAGGCATAGTTCCAAGTAAGTTGCTTTGTAGAATGGCTGGAACAAATCACAGCTATATCAGTAGTTGGATTCTTTAAGGTTCTCTCCGGTTCCACAATCTATTATTCTTTGTTCTAGTAAATAATAGCCAGCGTTTATATAGAGCTTACTATGTGCCAGGCACTGTGCTAAGCCTTGCTTTTACAACTAACTTATTTTCCCTCACAACAACCCTGGAAAGTAGTTGCTATTTATTCCTATTTTACAGATGAGGAAACTGAGTCAAGGAAAGGTTAACTGACTTTTTCAGGTTATATAGCTAGTAAGCATCTGAGGCATAAATGGAACTCATGTCTTCCTGACTCTAGGCCCAGTGCTCTGTCCATTGTGCCACATAAGTGCCACTAACTGCTACCTAGCTACAACTTTGTAATGAAAAGTACATAATAATAGTTTCTGGTTTTGGTCTTAATTAATTAATGGTCTTAGATTAACCTGTGTACTTTGCTGTAATTCACCCCTCATTGAAACTCTGAAGGGTGTGAGAACCTTAGATTAGAATTGCTTTAATTTGCATTTTTTATTAGCGATTTTCAGCATTTTTTCACAACATGTTATTGATTAATTGGATTTCTTACATTGAGAACCATCTTTTAATGTCTTTTGAACATACATTAATTTGAAGGGCTTTTATTCCCATAAATTTGAATTAATTCCTTGTACAGCTCGGAATCATTGCAGATCTTATTGCTTCAGTCTTCACAAGTTGCGTTGCAATCTTTTGAATATTCTTGAAAGTGATATTCCTTCAAAAGTTATTTGGAGTTTAATTTAGGGATTGATTTATTGACTTGAATTTGTTTTATGGCAGTTGGCCTTGATTTGCAGTTTTGTATATTTTATGGTTTGTATATGTTGAATTCAAACTCCTACAAACTTATTGTGGTTTCAATTCCTTATTTTTATTAGGCACAATTAATTTCTCTGTCAGTTAATGTAGAAATGTGTATCTTGTCTTCCTTAAATAAGCACAAAGTTGAGGTCTTTGAATTATTGTCTAGTCTTTTATCTGTAATCTAAGATTACATGTGATGTGAATTTTGGTAGAGAAAAAAACTATATTTTAAAAGAGACCTAGGTAATTTTTTTTTGAAGTTAAGATCTTTGTTTAAAATAACCGTAAACTGTTGAAGTTTTAGTAAGCTTGTACCCATAATTTTGAAGAAATTCTTTTAAAAACAAAGTTCATGCCCAAATGTCTGCATAATTATGGACCGATGTTTTTTAGATGAACTGAATTCCTGACTGTGGTTGCTTGTGTTTTGGATATATTTGTTTTTATTTTAAAAAGAGTGTGTGTGTGTGTGTGTGTGTGTGTGTGTGTGTGTGTGTGTGTGTGTTATGTATATATAGCATATATAATTAAACTAGATCATTTTGATTGAATTTATTACTATTTTGTCAATAAGTTGTTTTGGTTCATCCATCTAAATATCTAAGCATCTTACTTACCTTTATAAAAGTTTCCCATCATCATGCGATAATACATAGACTAATTTTTTAAAAATAATTTTTAGTTCAATTGATTTTTAATGTCTTAAGTATACACTGTTTTCTATTTTATGTTTTAGAAATATGGCAAATTGACAGCTTGTACTGGTTGTAGAACTCAATGCCGATTTTTTGATATGACTCAGTGCATAGGTCCTAATGGGTATATGGAACCATACTGTTCAACTGCTTGCATGAACACATACAAGACAAAATATGCAAAATCACCAAGTAAGTTTAAAGTTTTTAAAAATTACCTCCCCCAATACATATGTGTATATATGTACGTGTGTGTGTGTGTGTATGACATTTCCCCCTCCCTTGGATGTCTTTTCTCTAGATTTTGTTATTTTTAAAACTAGCTACATTATTAATTTAGTAAGAAAATATTAATTCCATACCCCACTAAAAAGATCTTTTCTTTAAATGTTCTTGTTGAGGTCTCCTTGGACAGGAGGGCCAATATTCATAGCTTAACCAGCTCAGTAGAACCCATGAGAACTTTCACTTCGGGCCTAGTCTTTGATGCCCCAGATTATTATAATATGGTTCTTCACCATGTTTAGCTGCAGGGTGATGAAATCTTCAGTCACAGCAACCCTTAATTTATCTGCCAAATTATAGAGGACTCTCAGTCTTTTTCAGTGTTAGAGAATTCAGAGTAACCAAACCAATGAAGTTACAAAACCTCAAAAGTAAATTGTATTTTTCATAGCTCTACCAATTCCAGGTTATTAAAATATTGGTAAAATTTTATTCCCTCTTCTTTATCCTCATGGCTGAAATTTTTGCTTCATCTGTATTTCTAAAATATAGGAGAGACTGAACTATTTATACCTTCCCTTGTGCTTTTTAAGTAAAATATAGGACACTAGCCTTACGAATTAATTGTCAGTGTGATATGATATTAAGGATTGAGGACAGGAGAAGGTTGTGTTCAAATCTTTTCTTAATAGCTTCATGACCGTGGTAAAGTCATCCCTTCTCATTTTCCTCATCCATATAAAATGAGGGACTTGAAATAGGTGGATTCCCTTAAGGATTCCATCAGCTCCATAGTCTATTATTTTGTGATCCTATAAAAAATATGCCATACGACAGTTATTGTTTTCTTTTTGTATCACATAATTACCATACTGGATAGCCTCTAAAATTGTTAAGGTGCTTTAGATTTTACTTTATGAGCATCAGTGTAACATCATGGATAGGGAAGGGTGGAATCATCAGACCTGGGTTCAAATTCCCACCCCCAGAGACTTGATAGCTAAAACTCCCTTAACTGTTTGAGTTTCACTTTCTTCATTCTTAAAATGAGGATAATGCTTGTTGTACTACTTACCAGATGATGTTGTTTTGAGCAATGCCATTTGGAAACCTTAAAGCGCTAAATAGAGGAGTTTTTTTTTATTTATTAAAACCAATCACTTCAATTTGCAAGGAAGTCATATGTGGACCTTTTCTCTCTCAGGTGTGGGAATCATTTGTCACTTTTGTAAGCGAAATTCTTTACCTCAGTACCAAGCCACAATGCCTGATGGAAAACTGTACAACTTTTGCAATTCCAGTTGTGTGGCTAAATTTCAGGTTTGACATTTGTTTTATGTAATCTTTATCCATATACATACGTCTTATAGGTTACTTTTGTATGTGCCATCAACTCTTAGACTGTTTAATTCTGCTTTCCTACCTATTCTGATAGGGAAATAATATATGAAAACTCCAAATTGTCTTTTATACTTCTCTTTTACTGGCAGAATACTAACACGAAAGTTCAATTAAAACTGTCCAGTTTTGGAGGAGACATGCCAGAGTGTTTTATAGAAATTACTCTTGGATTATCCTTTATTTTATACTTTTTAAACTACATTCTTTAATTAGACTGGATAATCAAAATTTTACTTTTTGTACAGCAGTTTTATTGATGGTAACACAGAAAAATTTAATGTAGTGCATAAAATCTGAGCCAGAGAAATACAGAATACATTTGTATTATTTTTTCATACCTCTGACATTCGAGAGATGAAATATAACAAATACTTGCATACAAATTATGTATAAGTGAAGTTGATAAACTATTTTATCAAAAATAATTTCATTTGACAGTGGCAATCATATTTTAGTTCATTGTAGAGTTCTGAGGTTGCTGTGGCATGATTTACCCTAAAACTTTGGTCCTACTGTAGCATTTGGCTCCCCAAATCAGTTGGCATCCCTGTTGCAGATATTCTTGGACTGGCATTTGTTGCCCTTAATTTTTTGATATATAGTTAGAACCAAAGTTCATGGCTTGATGAGCTCATAGTTGAGGTGTCACAGACTTGTATTGGTATATTAGGCTCAAACTGCGAGCTGGTCTTGTGCCAAGGCTTGAGTTCAGATCTTCACATTTTTAATTTGGAGATAAGAATGATTAATCATAAAATAAATTCTTTACATTTAACTAATTAATTTAGAGTTTTTAAAATTAAAATGGCCATTTGAAGAAGGATTTTCTGGTTGGAAGGGAAGTAGATGGATTTATTGGTCCTAGTTCTAGCTCTGCTGCTGCTGGTTCAGGTAATTCAGGAAAATTATGTAACTGCTATGTATTTTAGTTTCTGAATGTCATGAGGGAATTGTAGAAATTTCTTATTCAGCTAACTTTAGTTATAAATTACTAATGTTTCTGAATTTAAATATATGAAAACTCTTTTTTATCTTTTTATTATATCTTTTTTAAAGCCAATTGGGGTTAAGTGACTTGCCTAGTAAATGTCAGGTGTTTGGTCAGAGGCTGGATTTGAACTCAGGTTCCCCTGACTTGAAGGTCGGTGCTCTCTCCACTGTGCCACCTAGCTGCCCCTATCATTGGTTTTTAGAAATAAATTTCAAGTTCATATTTTTATGATGTATAAATTTCACATCATTTCAAGAATCATTAAGTTAATAAAATATAAAATTATTTTTATTCCATTTGTGTTTCAGGCTCTTAGTATGCAGTCATCACCAAATGGTCAGTTTGCAGCACCAAGTGATATTCAGTTGAAATGCAGTTACTGCAAAAATTCCTTTTGTTCCAAACCTGAGATACTGGAATGGGAGGCAAGTTGTTCTTTTTTAAAGTTAGCCGTGTCATTTAGAATGAGTAATTTTGCAGGTATATGAAATTATTTTTCTTTGTCAAAATTACTTGGATGTTTGACTGTTATTAATTAAATATAGGTGTACTAACTGTCTTTTATTTAGTTTTCTCAGGTCTTAGTCCAATACTTTAAATATAGTAATGATAATGAATAGCTAACATTTATCTAGTCATTCCAGTGCAATAATATAGCATTTATTAAGTGTTTAATAATAATTTGTTGAATTTTTTTCCCTATTTTGGAACAATTCAGTCAATGGACTAAATATAATCTCTCAAGAAAGTACACATTTTACAGAAACATGGGTTTGGTTAGCTTTGTGTTTTACATCGAGTACTTCTTTGTAGGAAAAAACATTAATTTTAGTTGTTGTAAAAATGTTCTTTCCCCAGAAATTTATACATTTTTTTCTTAGTTATAAATAATTATTTGTATTTGTAACTTTTGCTAACTTTGTCATACCAGGTTTTTATTTTTAAATTATGTCTAAGAGATTAAGTACCTAATTTGTTAAATATTTTGAAAAGTTGTTATTTCATCAGCCTTCTCTCCTTTTCCATTTTGCCTTTTCCTTTTCTTTGATCTTCCCGCATTTATGGTTCTGTTTGTTAATATGTGTCCCAATTAGGGAATTTTTTTTTCTGGTTTTGATTGCCTTTTAAGGCACGTTTTGTACTCAGGTGTGTTGTCTTACATTAGTTCAAATAGTTAAGCTTGTCTTTAGGGCATATATTTAAACTTGTAGTGTAGAATCTAGCTTTTGAGCTAGAACCTATCAATATTTTTTAAATCACTTCTCTGGGTCTTTACTGTTTGCTCAGCCATATTATCGGTATATTGGCTTAGATGATCTTTCTAAGGCCCTTTTTAATACTAAAAATTTATTTGTATTTTTGATTTTTTAACCTTTAGGAAATCACGAAAACTCTTAGTTAAGCCCATGCTTGATGCTAGGGTGTTCTCCAAGATAAATTTATTGTCTCTGTAGTGAGGACACCAGGTTGATTGTGAAGACACTTATTTGATATCTTTGAAGCAAGGAACAGTTAAAATTTGGGAAAGGAGAGAGAAATAAACATTTATATAGTGCTAACTGTATGTCAAGCACTGTGCTAAGCACTTTTTAAAAATATGTCGCTTGCTCTTCACAACAGCACTTGTAGGTAGGTGCTATTATTTATCCCCATTTTATAATTGAGAAAACTGAAGCAGACAGGTTAAGTGACTTGACAATGTTCACACAACTAGTAGTAAGTGTCAGAGGCTATAGTTGTATTTAGATCTTCCTGATTGTAGCCATGGAGCTATGCCACCCAGTTGCTTCTCAATAATAACTAGATTTTTGACATTTAAAAATTTTTGAAGTGCTTTACATGTTTCTCATTTGGTCCTGAAAGGAGCTCTGTGAAGTAGAAGTTTTTGTTATCCTCATTTTACAGGTGAGGAACCTGAGGCTTATAGAGTTTAAATGACTTGCCTGTTGTTGCATAGTTTGTAAATATCTAAGGCAGAATTTAAACTTGGTCTTCCTGTTCCAAATCCAGCATCTCTTCATTGTTTCACGTTAATGCTCCTAACCTGAGGCAGAGTTGGGGTGGAAAAAACCAAGATCTTGGTTAGATTGGTGTTCTAATGCATTGGGAACCAAGAGTCCAGTCTAGCAGAAGATTTAACATTACTTTAGTGGGAGGCATAGTTTAGCCATTGTATCCCATTGGTTAGCAGGGAGAAGGGGAATGTCAATTTCTGGAGGTACTTAAGTGGTTGAAATAGTCTTAGGTAGGTGCTTTTTTATGGCCATGAAGGCTCAACACATTTAAAGTGCTATCAGATTTAGTTCTCAGATTATCATGATATATTAGTACCCTCATTGCTTTTGCAATGTATATTTGGGTGTGTTTGGCACATGGTTCATTCCAATTTGTCTATTTCATCCACTACTCCTTGATTGTCAAGTTTAAGTACTTTTTTTTAAGCTCTTATCAATCCCAATAAAGGGTTAAAAATTATTCACTCCAAGTTCCCACTCTTATGAAGCTATTAGGGTACATATTCAGTTGGTTATTGTACCTAACTCTTGCACATTATTATTTTGGGAGAATAGTACTAGTCATTGCCCAATCTTGCAGGACTAATTCAGCATACTCTTGTTTTACTGTAGTTTTTCAGCTGCTTCCACTATTAGAGTTTCAGCGCTAGAAGCCCTGCTACCATTGATTGGCCTTAATTTTGGTTTAGAAAGGGTATGCTTGTCTTGAATTTGATTTTAATACCTAGTTATTGGGAACCTGAGAGAAGATGAACATTCTGGGTCAACATGGTCAGGAAGGCCAGAGTTCATATCCTGCTTCAGTTATGTACTAGCTTTAAAGATGTAGACCAGTTACTTAACCAGTTATAGTTGCACCAGGCAACTGTACATCAGATGAGATTCTGACATATATCAGTAGTACTACTTGACACACTGGGAGTTCCACGCACTGATGAAATTAATAATGTGGACTCCTAAAATTCTTCAAGTCCTGTTTTGTGAACACAAAAATGAAAAACCCATGATTTACGCTCTCAAGTAACTTAAGTTTCACTGGGGTGGAAAGTATATGCCATGTAAGCAGATAGGTAAATTACAGAGTAATTTAAGGTGAAAGTGTTGCAAGTGGGTGGTTAAGGGTTGGTTTTCATAAGGCAGTTGGTGCCTCTAGTGATAGCTCAGAGGTAGAAAATGGATATATACCTTCTCAGAAATTGTGATCTTCACAGAGAAGAAGCTAGAGGTAGATGGCAGAAATGAAAATGGTCATCAGGAACACTGGAATTAAGATCTCTGTTGCAATCCTGTTTCCAACACTTAGATAGCTGTGTGATATTGAACTAGCCATGTAACCATTCTGAAGCTGCAAGTGATAGTTGGAATACCTGCATTACCTACCTCTCAAGATTACGACTACTCATAAATCTTACAATACTTCATAATTTTGAACTTTTGTTTTGCTCCTACTCCATATTGTTACTAGCAAAGCTGGATTTCTGGCTTGCTTGTTTCTACTTTTTAATTTAAAGGCAGCAGGAGCAAGCATTTTGGAGGACAATACCTGGTATACCAGGGAAGACAGGTAAATTAGGTGCCTGGAATTTATGGTCTGTGGTATATGTATATCTATCTCTGCATTGAGTCTGAAATTTTTTTGTAATGGTTCTGGACCACCCCCCCCCACCCCGGTTAGCTAAATTAACTGCAATCATTGCTATGTTTACTTGGCATTTAAGTTTGTTCTTGCTTTATTGTGTTTAGAACAAAGTATATCAGTTCTGCAGCAAAACATGTTCAGATGACTATAAAAAGTTGCATTGCATTGTTACGTATTGTGAATACTGCCAAGAGGAGAAGACCCTGCATGAAACAGTGAATTTCTCTGGAGTTAAGAGGCCATTCTGTAGTGAAGGTAGATGCTTTTGTAAACTTTCATATTAATTTTTTGGATAATTTTTATGCCAAACCTTTTTTTAAGCAGGCCAGTTGAAAAAATAATTTTGGTCTTTTGCACTAATTGCTTAGTTGGACAGTTTGATAGATTTGGATCAGAGGTTTCTTGTCTGTAAAATGGGAATCGTCATTTGAGCTTTCTATCTTTTCAGGGAAGTTATAAAACTAAAGTCATTTATAAATGCTGGGAAAGTCCTTTGGAATGATAAATGCAGTATGATTATTGTTTTTTGACTTGGGAAGAAAGAATTGAAATGTACTTTTCAGATTATAATAAAAATTGATCAAGTAGCATAGTCCCTTTGGGTAAAAATAGTTGATTTTGATTTCTTTAACATTTACATCTGTCATAACATAATTTCGTTGTCTATTATTGTTCAAGGCACTGTGGATGATATACAGGTAAATATAATTCATGATCTTTTCCCTAAGCTAGTGCTTAGAATGTTAGTGATTAAAAACACATTAACAAGGTTAAATAAGAAAAATATTTATACCAGCAGAAGAAATTGGTAACTAAAAGAAAAAACTTCCTATAGCAGTGTTTTTTTTTCTTTGAGGCAATTGGGGTTAAGTTGACTTGCACAGAGTCATATAGCTAGTGAATGTTATGTGTCTGAGGCCGGATTTGAACTCAGGTCTTTCTGACTCCCAGGCCGGTGCTGTGTCTACTGTGGCATCTAGCTGGCTCTTGGCAGTAATTCTCAACCTTTTTGTGTCATATCCCCTTTTGGCAATCTGATGACACTCATGAACCCTTTCTTAGGATATTTTAAAATGCCTAAAATATAATACTCTAGGATTACAAAGGAAACCAATTATTGTGAAATACAGTTATTGAAAATCGCAAAAAGCAAGTTCATGGACCCTGGGTTAGGAGCTCGCATTATTTGGTAGTTTAGGAAGGAGAGAAATGATTTCACATTGGTGTGATAACATAGGCATTTTGGTGAAATGGTCCAAACAAAATCTCAGAGATAGGAAATGGAAAGGCTTCTTTAGGAGATAATGGAGGAGTTTGCTGTTTATCATTCATCAGGTAATAGAATAGGGAAAGATAAAATTGTAAAGGGCCGCCAAATATGATTCTGTACTACCCTAAGGTCTTACTTGACTCAAGCTAATGATCTATTACTTGCAATTTAATCATTTTATGGAGTCTTAATAATGTACTTTTGATTTTTCAGTCTTATTATCACATCATATTGCAAGTTTCCTAAATTTAGCAGTTTACACATTATTTGAATCCATTCATATAGGTAATATATCACCTTGTGTTTTTGTGGGGATACTACAGATGACTGATTACCTTTTTTTCCCCTCTTTTGAAGAAAATGACCTATAATGGTTATTTCTATATTAAATATTGGTATCTCTTTCAGGCTGCAAACTGCTTTATAAACAAGATTTTGCAAGACGTTTAGGATTGAGATGTGTTACTTGCAACTATTGTTCCCAGCTTTGTAAAAAGGGAGCAACTAAAGAACTTGATGGCGTGGTGAGAGATTTCTGCAGTGAAGAATGCTGTAAAAAATTTCAAGATTGGTACTATAAGGCAAGTAACTCAGAATTTTAGATGGCTTCCTACATTTACTTTAACTGGTCAGTAACAGAGCTACATTTGAATACCTCATTACAAATGTTACAATTCATAGTTGTTTAAAATGCCTGCTGAGTGAGTTTAGAATAGTTTCTGCCACGCAGTCAGTAAAAATACGGTTTTTGTCATTTCAGTTGATGTTTGTAACTTGGAGTAGCATTTTTCTTGTGAAATACTTGTTGTATAGTCTTAAATAATACAATAGATACCTGTTCACCAATTTAACTTTATAAATCAGGTTATTTTTATGCCATTTGTTTTAATTACTAAAAATTATTTCTGATAGCCATTTACAAATATTCAAAAATATTAGCAGGCAGTTATTGCTTTGAACGGTTGAGTGTATTTTAGACGTGTTCTTTTTTTGCCACCTCAGCCTACTCCTAAATTTAATTGTGAATTTTAGAGACTTTGTTTTTTTCAGTGTTTTCGAGGTGAAAGGACTCTCAATGAAAAAGCAGGAGACCAAAGGCATTTCTTTTGAAGCTTTAATCCAATTATTTTACTTTTTAATACTCAGTAAGGTTTAATAATTTCAGTCCGTTTTGCACAGCATTGATTATCTTGTAGGTGGGAGAGAGTGTAAAATTGGACTGAGGTAGTCAAATATTACCCTGGAGAAAGTATTTACTAATTCCTGTGCCAGCAACATGGAAAACCATCTCAATAACTAAAGCTACATTATGGATTCAATTCTAAAGCGTAAGAAGACAGAATTCATCACCACCTTTACAAAATTGTGAGCTACCTCTGAGGAAATAAACAAAAAGAGTTTGAAATGTTGGCGAATATTGTGCATTCAATTTATGAAATTGATTTGCCATTGAAATGAACTACTTCTTGACAACTTGAAGGATATCTTGAAATGACTCCAGAAGATCTGCAGTTAAATATATAGTTACTTATTAATTTTTTTAGGCGAAAAGCAGCACTTAACAATTTTTGAATATGCCATTCTAGAACATTAAGAAATTAATATAATTTTTGAATTGTCAGGTGTGCAGAATTAAGGTTAAAGGTTTTGTTTAAAAGTCATTTAAGAAATTACTGCTTTTTTTTGGTTGATATTAATCTAAATCTTTGAAACTCAGGTCTAAGTTGAAAAGCTAGTCAGGGGAGAAATAAAATATTCTCTACTATGTAGGTTGATGTATGCCTTCTATAATACAACAAGAGTTTGGAATTTTGTTTTTGTTTTTTAATCTGTTCCTTGTATTGTATTCAATTTTTGAGCTTTTGCTCCATCTGAGGATTTGTTTTTGTTGGCTTCAGATAAACACTGAAAGAATTTAGAGGCTGATTTAAAATTTTTAAAAATTACTTTTGCATTCAGGATTTTTTTGAGGGGGTACAAATTAACATTGGCTCAGCTTAGTACTGGAAAAATGATAACTAAGAAACTTGATCCTGCCACTAATTCAATTTTTATCTTACATTTTTATACTAGAGACAGTAATTGTTACCCTGTGATGATTTGTGGTTATTGTGCAGTTTGGTGCCTTATTGTCTTGTTGTGAACCTAAGCCTTCTATATTTTTAGATGGTAAAGATTATCTTACAGAATTTTGTAATGTGTTCACAACTTAATGGATGTCCCTGTCTCTGGTTTATTGCTTTCTTTGAGGATCTTGCCTTGTGTTTATTTTCATACCGTAATCTAAACATAGAAATCTGTTAATTTTTTTTATTGAGAAGCAAATATAAGTAATTTGTCATTAAATATGCAGATTCCACAAGTTGTAATTTGTTCATTTTGCCACTTGTTTAAAGGATAATTGTATTTAATGTTCTCTTTCATGCAATGTCCAGTGTTGGAAATTCAATAAAACAATTTATTTCAAAATATTAAAAAATTAGTGCAATAGCCAGTTAATTATCTAGTCATGTTTAATGCCAGTATTCTATCCATTAAACACATTTTTATTATGTATTCTGTCTTATTTTAAACCCAGAATATTTTTATATATTTGAAAGTATTTTTCTTTCAAGACAGTAATTTTCTTATTCAGGCAAAAACATTTGTATTTACTGATCCAAGGTATTAGAGTAAAGTAGCAAGTTACCTGGCAAGAACCAGCTGAGTAAACCAAAAAAATTGGTATCTTAACACAGTCAGCTTTGTGCTGGTTGATCTAAAGGAGCTAAAGATGATTTATCTTAGGCATCTCAGATGAGGTTGCCAAGAGACAGTAGAAAGAGGGTTTTTTGGTTGTTGTTTTTGCTGAGTTATTTTTTTTAATGGAACAATACGTTTATTTTAATCTCCTTTATTCAGTTTTTTCCAAGGATCTTTTTTTTTAATTGGCAAAATATATTGTTATTTTACTCCAGCTTCTTTATTTAAGGTTTCTGCAGAAATTTCTTACTGAACTCTCTTTAACCATACCCATAGTTTTATCTTAATTCAGTTTGGGAGTTTGGCCTTAATCATATAAATTAATCCAGGGCTATCTCAACCATAAACAAAACTATCATACCTTATCTTATACTTGTACTGTTTGACACAAATGATAGAGTTGTTGGATACTCTTTTGAAATTTTCACACTTATAGTCTCTAAGCTCCTGATCATACTGTACTTTTAGATGATCAAGTTTCATAGTGTATGTTCTCTATTTTCCGTGGTTTATTACAACATAGTAGGAGTTAAAACTGAGGTGACTTGTCCTCTTGTGAAGAGTACATTTTGAATGGAAGGAATCAAATGTATTGGCATTCAGTCAACCAAAACTATTTGAAACAAATTTAGTGACAAATTTTCTCTCACATGCGTGTCTAGATAGTCATTATCTTACAGCTGTTTCCCAAAACAAATATTTCTTGGTGTCTTGGCACAAATTTAATTGTCTGTGTTCTTTTTGCCTTTATCTAGAATTTTTTTCAATTTACTATCTCCCACCATCCCCTTTCTTCCCTTATTCCTCCTTTTCTACACCTGCCAGTTGGAACAACTGGTATAGACTGGTATAAAAGTCTCCATTCTGAATAAGACCTGCTGTTTCTGCAAGATGCCCCTACTCTTTTTCTTGTTCAGGCTGTCAAACTTTTTTATAATAAATCTGGCGTTTTTTTCCCTTTCCACTGGAGCTTTCTCATGGTTTTAAAAAACTTTTATGACCTTTGACCGCATTAAAAATTTATTGAATACATGTCCTTTTAAGCTGCTTTCCTAGAATGTCTGAAATGGCATCTAATTGATCATCATTTCTCCAGAATCTGTTATGTATGTGGTTTTATTTATTACCTATTTTTGAAAGCCATTTTACAAATACACAGTTACTCAACCGCAAATGCTCCATTTTTTTATTGGTACTTAGTAGTGTGCAGATTTATCCACTTGCCTGGTAGCCTCATTTTGACCACCAAGTACGCTTTTTTAGTCAAAAGAATAATTAGAAAATTCCTAACAAAAGATTTGTAAACATCTTTTCACATCTTTTAAGTTTTAACACCTTTCCACCCCATCCCTGGGGATAATTTTAAATTGGGGTTTGATTATTGCTGCAGAATTCAGAGCTGGAACTAGGTTAGACCTAAATATCCTGATATAAGGAATAAGTCAATATGAATTTAGTTAGTATTGTCCAGCTCTGGAAAGGACTACCTCCTGGAGTAGGCTGTTTTCCAGTCATTGGATATGTTCAAGCAGAGGCTGGATCAACAACAATCTAGAGATGTACCTGGAAGGATTCCTACAGTGGATGGGAAGATGGTCTTTCCCTTTTAAAATTATATTCGTTTCTATTCTATCCATGCCTAATCACCAGGGAGGCAAGGTTCACCCAATAACTAAAGAGAAATACATTTCTTTACAATGGAAAATAACAAATTCTTATTCTCCTAGAATGGTGAAAGTCATCAAAATTTGGGGCTGGGGTGGGAATCAGGAGTGAACAGAACAAGTAGTCAAAATTTTTAAAGAACAGTATTACCCAGCCTTAAGTACCTTGCAAAGTGAAAGTAATTTATGTTTAATTCATGAAACACAATTGGTGACCCTTATTCTAAACAAAGGTTTTTGGGTAGTGAGGACACACTAAATTTTTTTTAAAAGTATCTACTACTTTAGAAAACACTTGTCTTTGGAATACAACTGAACTTGAACTAAGTTCTGAGCTTTGGCTCTTTGTTGCATACATTCAATGCTGAACAAATCACTACTCTTTAAAAAAACAAAACAGAAACCCATCCAGTTGAGTGTGTGTGTGTGTGTGTGTGTGTGTGTGTGTGTGTGTGTGTGTGTGTGTGTGTGTGTGTGTGTGTGTGTGTGTATGTGTTTGGAAAGAAGGGATTACAATGGTAATTGCTCTTTGGAGTACTCTGAAAATGCATGTCTGCAGTTGGGTGTTACTTTGGGGTTTTATATATTTTCTTATATTAAATTCTCAGTGTAAATTATGGAAATCAGTAATTATAAAATGAAAGATTATGATTTTCTCAGTGTTCACATCATATAATTAGAACTAGTCAGACTTTGCTTTTTTTTTTATACCTCTGGCCTCTAGGTTGCTAATTTAAACAGTATATGTACTCAGAGCTAGATAGTGACCATACTATCTAATTGTACAAGTAGGTCTGCAATGTATTGAATGAATAAAGATTGCAGAGAATAAAACAGGTGTGAAAATGAGCCTCTACAAGTTAAGAAAAACTTACTCATGGAGATAATCAGATCATTACTAATAATGCAGACAAGAATTTTCTACAACTTTTATTATGTTCTAACCCCTTGTAGATTAGATGAAGTTACCATTTTTCTGTATTTAGTTATTTGTTGAGTGTAATATAGGGCAATTGAAAGTCTTTTGACAACTTAATTTCTAGTTAGATCATATTCAGAAAGTGTTATTTAATCTGTGGTCAGTTTAAAAATATTATGTTCAACTAAATATTAATGTTTTTTGGCTTGTAAGTATGAATAATGACTCCTAGGTAGCATTATATTTTTGGTCTCAGAAATTTGCTGATGAGAAGTGACATTGCCATCACTGGTATTCATAATTGATACTGAGAATCATTTATTCAACCTTTATTTAGCAGGGGAAAAACCTGTCCTGGAGAAAAAAAAAAGATCCTGTGTTCTAATCTTTGGGTATGTCTGTTACTTTAAGAACATAACAGTCAACATTCTTGAACAGGAGTTTTGAAGTTGGAGCTTTTCTAAGATCTCCCTAGCCATAAATTAAATTATTAAATAAATAGAAATCATTTAACAGTTCTTTGATTATTTGGGGTCATCTGGGAAAATCATGGCCAGGATTGCCTTAAGCTACAGAAAAAAATCCTTCATTTTTATTTATTTATTTATTTTTGGTGAGGCGGTCAGAGTTAAGTGACTGGCCCAAGGTCACACAGCTAGTAAGTTTCAAGTGTTTGTTCTGAGGTCGGATTTGAACTCAGGTCCTCCTGACTTCAGGGCTGGTGCTCTATCCACTGCGCCACCTAGCTGCCCCAGAAAAAATTTTAAAGTATATGGGTACAGATGTCTAACAGTTATTCAACCTCACCTGCACTTAGGTGGATGATTTTTTAAAAATTGTATAGCATTTTTTTTAATATTTGCAAGAAATTTAGAAACATTTGACAGGAACTGAATTTGAAATTCAACCTTTATCTCTCCCATGTCTGCCTTCTTGTAGAGATATTAGGGGATAGTAAAAATGGAGAAAGGGTGGAGAAAACAGGCCATGGATAGGCTATAAACTAAATATATATATATATGTACGTATGTATCTATCTATCTATCTCACTGGATAGTTTCCCATTAATGAACTACTGTTTGTATATGTATATTTTTTAATAGCATGATAATTTCCTTGTTTTCATGACAAATTACCCTTTTTTCTTTCTGGAAATATTTGGAATAAGACCTAGCCACATCTTAACTTGAGGGATTAGAGACTGACCTTCTTAAAAATAATTTGTGTATTTTACCTCAAAGCATTAATTGATGCTATTCTAGTTAAATACAAATAGTTGTTTTAGTGTTGCTTGTAATGGTGTATTTCAGGTCAAAGCCTTTTGCAGTGATCTCTGAAGGATTGTTAAAATCGTTATATGTTCTATTTTTATTCAACATCTGTTGAGGTTTGGAAAGGAAATCTTTTATTGTGCAATCAAATTTAATTTTATTGTTAGATTTTTATGGTTTTTGACTGGTGTATTTACATGTGACTTGGCAATTTTTTGTTAGCCTGCAATTTAAGTATATCCAGGTGGACTTAAAACTATACCTCCATTGGACTTGGATATTGACATATTAATTTGGGTTAATAAAATACACAAGTTTGATACTTTATGATTTTGGTCTTTTTGACTCTTGGTAAGTAATAAGAGACTTGAAAATTTGGTGAACCAGTCATTTTTCTCTGGGGAAGAAGAATTTTTTTATACTGTTAATAAAATTTCATGTATATACAGCATAATTTTTTTTTCATCAGATTTATTTGTAAAAATCTCATTTGAATTTGAATTTCAAAATTGATGAGAAAAGTTAATTTTAGAAATCTTTTAATTTGCATATGTATACAGTTTTTCTTTGAAAGACCTCTTATTTAAAATATCTGAAACTTTCCTTTTATATTAAGGCTGCAAGGTGTGACTGTTGTAAATCCCAAGGAACTCTTAAAGAACGCGTACAGTGGCGGGGGGAAATGAAGCATTTCTGTGATCAGCACTGCTTACTGCGTTTTTACTGTCAGCAAAATGAACCTAACATGGCAACCCAAAAAGGACCTGAAAACTTACATTATGGTATGTAACTTCAGGTAGTAACTTGGAAAATTTCTACAAAGTTTTCTGTTTCTCCGTTTTCAAACCATGCAGTATTCCATTTCTTGCAGATTTTGAGGACAAAATTAAATATAGCTTAGAATGAGAGAATCTGAGGTTGGAAGGATCTATTTTTGTCTGCAATCTATTTCCTTTTCTACTTGGAATGCACTTTGAGGCAAGGTTCAAGATTGACATTTTAGAAAGCTTTGTTACCTGAAATTAGGTATCCTTGAATGGCACTTCATGAGGCACTTCATGAAAATAGTGCAAAATGTGTTAATACTTACACCTGTGCAAAATGTGTTAATACTTACACCTGTTTGCAGATGTTATTGACTATGTATAGTTTCATCTACAGCTTTAAATGAAAATGCTGTTTTGCTGAACTTTTTAAGTCTTGTAGATATTTCTGAATTTGTGTGTGGTTAAGTTCTACCTAAGTTTATAGCTTCTGAAGAATTAAATACTATAAAGAAAACATGTCTGACAAATCTCCAAAGCCATGTTAGTAGCCATTCTTATAAATGTTAGTATTAATTTATTTGCCAATAATAAAATGACTAGCATTTATGTAGTGGCTTAAGCTTTACAAAAATTTTACAAATATCTCATTTTATACACAGCCCTGGGAGTTGGGGAAGTTATCCCAATTTTGCAGTTGAGGAAACTGAGGCAAACAGATTCAGTGACTTGCCCAGGGTCACATAGCTAATAAATGTCTGCCACTGAATTTGAATTCAGATTTTCCTGACCTCCAGGTCTAGAAAACAAACAACTTTACCACTTGGCTAGCTGCTTCATTATCTTATATCATCCATGTTTCAACATCTCAGGGCATTTGAAATTAGGGAATTACTACTTCTTTAGAAAGAATGTGAGAGAAAAACTGTTTTTGAAATCTTACTAAAAGGAAGAATGTTGTTTGTTTTGGTGAGGCAATTGGAGTTAAGTGACTTGCCCAGAGTCACACAGCTAGTGAGTGTTATGTGTCTGAGGCCAGATTTGAACTCAGGTCCTCCTGACTCCAGAACCAGCACTCCGTCCAACTGTGCCACCTAGCTGCCCCAAGGAATAATTTTTTTAAAATAGTTTTTTGTATTTACTGTGTTTCTGTGCTTTAAAATATATCTAGAAGGACCTGACATTGAGTCTTGTGTATGGAACACTCATGATGGCATAAAGGAAAATCGATTTTTGCTGAGACAAGCTTATTTTTCCTTTTATAATTCATTCAACAAACCTATTTTATTGCCTAATGGCAGAGATGATATGCCAAATAAGCTCTAGGATATTTTCATTGTAAAACTTTGGCTGATTGACAATAATTTCCATCCTAAGTATACCAGAATTTTGGAATTTGATCTTAAAACGATTATTTTAAAATCCACTGAAGTTTAGTAGAAGTAATATTAATTTAGAGGGACAGTGTGCCATAATGGATTGGATTCAGGAGTAAGAAAGACCTGAGTTCACATCCCCCTTCTGACACTTAATGTTTTGTGTGAGAATGTAAACTTGAGTGTAGTGATTATTGTATTTTTATCCTTATCTCCTCAGTACTGAGCACTGTGCCTTGCCTGTTAACAGTTCCTTAATAAATTTTTCTTGATTGATAAATGATGTCATGATAGATAATCACTTTACTTCTCTGGTTGTCAGGCAACTTTGCATCCTGTAAATTTCAGAAGGGTTGAGATTAATGTTCTGGGAGGCAGTTCATACTAACAATATCATAGGTCTTATTGATACAATGTTTCTTTAAAGGATTTATGGAATGAAATGAAGGTGTCTTATTTTCATTCTCTTTATATTTAGACCAGGGTTGCCAGACTCCTCGGACAAAAGTGACAGTAAGTCTGTTAAATTTGTTATTTTTTTTACTTCATTTTAAATAATTTTTCTTCTTCTGAACACAACGCATACCAAATAGAATGGGAAATGCCATGTACAAAGAAGAGAAAAAGAATATACATGAAACTTCAGGTTTCTATTATGTATGGGTTATTCTTGCTGAGAGAGAGAGAGAGAGAGAGAGAGAGAGAGAGAGAGAGTATGACACATACACAAGATCAGCCTGTCCCTTTCAAATTTATCCTATTTGGCTTTATTCCTGTGGTTTTGTTTGTTCTTATTTGAAAGATGCCTCAATACCCTTCTTACTTGACCCCCCTGTTTCTTTTTTGCTATCATTTTTATCTCCTCCTTTCCCTTGGGAGAAAAATAAAGACAAAGCCTTGCAACAAATATACATATTCAAACATAATAAATTGCCAAATTATCTTTCCTCGTATGATATTTTTGGATATTAAGATTATATTTTACTCTGCTAAAACAGTGAGTGCAGCAAAATTAACTACAGGTTTACCTATACTAAATTAATACCTCTTATGTCCTTGCAAGTTTATTTTAAGAAAGATTTTAATGAAAAGACTTTTATTTCTATTAAGTTCTTTCAATTTTATGTACATTGGGACAGAGGAAATTAGCCGTCAGCTCCATTGCATTTCTTGTATCAGAGATTTATCATACTGCTACAAGGGAATTTAGAACCATTACTTCATGAGAGACAGGGAAGGAAAAGGTAGTTTTGTAAGAGGCAATAGGTCTTTCAAGCCTATTTTTGTTATTCTGTCACTTGTGAAATGTTTCTAGTCTTTTAGCTTCCCATATCGATTAATGTGCCTTGATCCCACTGATGATAGCTTCCTTTCCTGTATTTCTTGAAACTGTACATCAGAGTGGTCTAATGTTAGGTAAAGGTATTTCTCTTTCCTTATTTAAAATTTCTTGCCTTTGTAACTTTGCGCTTATCCAGTAGAGGGAGCTAAAGTGTTCAAGAAGTATTTTTCTTCTAAAAGTATTTTTTGAATTCAAAAATTTTTCTACTGCGTGACAGAAAGTTTTTGTTCAAGTCTGACATTGTACTATTTTATTAAAAACCAGTATTCTGTCTTCACATATGTTTTGACAAAATAAAGTAGCGTTTTATTTCAAAGATGCTGCATGTGGCCTACAATTCTAGGGCATGTACTTTTAAATTTTTTTTAATCTACTGATGGATTTCCAATAGAGAGCTGATTTTCATACATGGTATTTGATTTCCATTACTCATGTATAAAATTTGATTGATTTTTTTACATGCTAGGATAATAAGCATTGATATTTATAGAATCATAACATAACTTAAGATTATAAGCTAACTCCTACTTTTGGATATGCAAAGTGGGTAGCTTAGAAATCAGTTCTTGTATGTTTCTCTCTTAGAGTTCAGTACCACCTCCTTCTCCAACGCCTAACAAAGAGATGAAGAACAAAGCAGTTCTTTGTAAACCTTTGACAATGACAAAAGCCACATATTGTAAACCTCACATGCAAACAAAATCTTGTCAGACAGGTAAGTTGTTTTTGTTTTTTTTGTTTGTTTTGCTTTTTTTGACAATGTGACTTATTGTACATTTCACTCCTGATTTACTTCACTAAGTGGAACAGATCCATTTCAGTTTTCAGAAAAACTGGGAGTTGAATTTGTGTTGTCAGTTCTTGGGAAATACTATCATGCTTCAGTATAACAAACATTTTAAATAATGGAAATGAAAAATAAGAATTTTCTGAGAAAATATACTATAGTCATGACGAAGTATAGAAATTGAAAAAATACTGGTAACTGCTTTTTGTGTTAGAAATGTACAAATGATGGTTTCCCAGTCATTATTTTAAAAATAAAATTTGTGTGATTGTAGACAAATCATTTTTTAAGTCTATTAAAATTTATTTCAGTTTTCCTGTTCTTTAAAATGAATTCAATAAACATGGAAAAAAATTATCTCTTTTAATATAAACTGAGTATTGCAAGCAGTTGTTCCTTATAAAAACCTTAGGTTCATTCACTTTTAACCTATTGACCAGTGGACTGTTTCATTGAATCAAACATTTTCTTTAGGACTTTTAGTACTTTAAAAAGTTAGTTTCTGTGGCCGTTTGTTTGAGGGAGAGGAGTGTTGTGGATGCCTAAATTTCATTTTTGCATATCTCAGGAGAAGTATAACTTCTTCTACATCAGGAACATAAGAGCTTCAAGAGGATCCAATTCTTAATTATTTTTGTAAGCCTTCTTTTTTGCATGGTAGAATTTCTAATTGGTGTTTACTCGTATTTATTTGAATGTTATCATTTTCTGAATTCATTTGACTCTAACCGCTTAACATAAGTAGTATTTAATATCATTGCCTAAACTTACTTATCTTGATTTTTTAGAAGACAGTTGGAAGACTGAATATGTTCCAGTTCCTATACCTGTACCTGTGTATATCCCCGTGCCCATGCATATGTACAGTCAGAACATTCCTGTTCCTACAACTGTTCCCGTTCCAGTAAGTTAAATCTTTGAGATCCATCAGGCTTTTGTAAATAAGATGCTAATTTGATTGAGCACAGTGAGGCTGCTGAAATAGAGGGATGTTCAATTTTTAAAATCTGATGTATATATGTTCCTAAGTCCCTTTTTGCTACTCTAGTGACACATTCCTAATTTGATATGATACTGATAATTCCTCTTCTTTTTAGAATGGTTCATAACTGTCTTTTGACCATTTAATTATTAGAGAAATGGGTCTTAATTGTAAAAACCTCTCATTACCTACCTTGGTCAACGTATCCCTCCACCTCCTAGAGAGCCATCTCTTATAATAAAGGCTAAAAAAGAGGGAAAACATTCATAAAGAATAACAATGTATTGAAAAATAATTTGGGTATATGGTGTTCCATCTGCACAGAAAGTAGTGTGGTGCCATCTCACATCTTACTTCAGTCCAAATTTTTTTCATTATAGCATTGCAACAGTTTTTTGGATTGATTATGTGTTCATTGTTAGTTGTGTATATTGGTCATCTGATTCTACTTACTTCACTTTGTAATCAGTTTGAAGAAGTTAACAAAGCTGATGCTTTATCTAAAGGCTACTCCAGTTTTGATACCTGAATGATAGTATTACAGAATATAAATTACCCTGATGTTTGACTTGACACCTTGCAAATGGTTAAAGGTGACAGAAGATGGGGAATATTTCATTATTAGAGGAGTTGTGGGGAGAACAGTACCCTGGTACATTGCTGGTGGAGCTATGAATCAGTGTAGCGGTTTTGGAAAGCAATTTGGGAAATGATGCATATTACATAACTAAACTGCCTGTACCCCCTTAACCCAGAGTTAGTATTAGGTTTATACCCAAGGTGGCCTTTGATAAGCATTTTTAGCAGTACTTTTTGTGATAGAAAAAGATTGGAAACAAAATAGTTGCTGCTTGGGAAATGACTAAAGAAATTAGGGTGCATGAATGCAAAGGAATATTTTGTGCTTAAGGAAATTACAAATGTGATTAACACAGAGAAGCATGGAGGAGTGATCTTTATGAACTAGTGCAAATTGAAGTAAACAAAACCAGGAAAACAATACATCTGGTAACTACAGCAATGCAAATGGAAAGACTGGCTGTAAAAAAAATAAAAACGAATGTTGCAAAATTACAAATGATTTGAAAGAAGAGATATCCCCATCTCTTTGCAGAGGTAGGAGATCCGTAAACATGGGGCATTGTGCATATTTTCAGAATTTTTCAGTATTTTGATCAGTGTTGCTGATTTTTTAAGACCTCTTTTTGTTTCTTTTTAAAAAAATACTTTTTATTATATGGGAAGGCTTTGAGGGAGGGGAGAAGGATACTGGGGGAAAATATTGATAAGTTAAAAAGAGAGACACCAATAAAAAAAATTTTTAAACTCAATATGGTGAACACAGAGGAACATGGGAAAACATCTTGGTATCTTTAGATCCTTTTGCTTTCTTCCTGATGATACTGTTCATTGCATAAATAGTCTCCATAATTTCAAACCTCAAATTCCATTTTCCCCAGTATTTTAATGATATGTTTTAATATTTATTGTTATATTTGGAATTTATTCTGGTTGTCTTATTATGAGATATGGATCTAAGCTCAGTGTGCTTTTTCTCTACTCCTTTCCCATATTATCTATTTTCCCCAACAGTTTTTTAAATTTAATTCACTTCCCCAACATTTTGTTTTTTTTCACATTTTAGAAATAGATTTTATTGATTTTTTTTTTGTTTTAATGTAGCCTAGATTTCCCCCTGTACCTCTCTCCCCATCCCATTGAGCCATCCCATATAAGATTTTTTTTTAAGAACAGGAGGATGAAAAGAAAAGAAAATTCAGCAAAATAGGTCAGCACCTTGAAAAAAATATGTTATATAGAATGTTTGACTTCTGCAAGCAAGGGGAGTTGTCTTCTCATGTAGTCTTCTTCTTCGGGGCCTAGCTTGTTGTCTCTGGTTGTGCAACATTCAGTTTTGGATATTTTGTAGTCATCATTTTTTTCTTTTTATGTTTGTTGTACTCATTGTGTACATTGTTTTCCTGGCTCTGTTTACTTCACTCTGTCAGTTCCCCTCCATCTTCCTATACTATTTAGGATTTTTCAAATGCTGGAATATTACTTGCCTTTGGTTTTAATTCTGGACTGGATCACAATGCTTTAAACTTCATTATTTCTTTCTGAATCAGTTTTATCTCTTGTTCATTTTGTTGTTGACAGTATTCTGCTGTTCTCTGTCACTGGGTATCTGAATAATTCAGCTTCCAAAAACTCTTTTCTCTGATTTTATGTAGATGCTTGAAAAATGTTTCTATATTTACCTGGAAAATACTAGCAATTAAAAAACAGATGTTCTTTTGAAAATTGCACACATTGTAGCATAATAAAACTATAAATCAGGTATAAAAATCATTTTCACAGTAAAAGATATTTACTAACAGTTTTTAGTTTATAGTAACAGTGGATACTTTGGTTTATTAGGTGCCAGTACCTATATTTTTGCCTACTCCACCAGAGAGTAATGAAAAAATTCCTGTAGTACCTGAAGAGTTAAAAAATAGAGTATGTTCAGATCCCCTTGCTGGTGAGTTGCTTACAATGACAGCAGATATAATGGCTGAGGAAGAAGAAAAAACAGAAGCTACTGACATTAACAGTGAGTACAATAGTAAGAAGTGTGTGTTGTATAAGCCAATTTACTCAAACTTGTTTTTCAGTTGTGTTTGACTCTTTGTAACCCCATTTGGTGTATTCTTGGCCAAGGTACTAGAGTGATTTGCCATTTCCTTCTCCACCTCATTTTACAGATGAGAAAACTGAGGCAAACAGGGTTAAGTAACTTGTAAGTAACTTGCCCAGGGTCACACAGAGCTAGTAAGTTTCTGAGGTTAGATTATTAGATGAATCTTCCTAACTTTAGCCCTGTTACTCTATCCATTGCTCTACCTAGCTATCCTTACTCAACAGATAGATACTCCAAATGGTCCTCATAATTTAAATCCTGTTCCTCTCTCTGTTCTGTCCTTCCTCCCTCCCCCATTTTTTCTTTATCTCAAATTTTTAGTAATCATGTATTTACCAGTGTTCCCTGTTGTTGGTAATGACTTACCTCTTTGAAACAATGTTCACAGTAATGAAATTACATTTACAACATTTAGCATTTTTATTTTAACAGAATTTGTTCTGTATAGAGATACAGCTGCATCATTAGTGATAGTGGAAGGTGAGCAGTGTCACACACCAGTAATTTAGTAATTGACGCTAGAGAATAATGCTTTTTTGACAGTAGATGACCAACATAGTTCTATTTTAAGCAAAGGTAGCACAAATAATTTGGCATTTCCCTTCTTAAATCCTTCATCAGTTCCTCATTGTAGTTCCTTGAAAGCCTATTACTTAGAAAGTTTTGGAGTGCCAGCTTAGCATTTGTTGTCTTAAATTACATCCTAGCTAAATTAGGAGATGCTCATCATCATTCATCATCACAGAATAGGCCACCAGATGCTATTTTTTTGGCCATAGCAACTCCTGAATGCCATTCTTCAGGGCCGAAGACTATTCTGTGTTAGCAAGACACTGTCATACTAATGGGATCGTGGATCTTTTGAATTATTTAATATGCCAACAGGGTAGTAGGATGATGGCCACAGTGATAGAAAGTTTTTTAGACCTATCAATGGATGGACGTGATTTTATAGTTGAAACATTCTTTCCAGTATACCATATTGCCTCTTTTTTGTTGGTTTTTTTTTGGGGGGGGGCCTAGGCAATGGGGTTAAGTGACTTGCCCAGGGTCACACAGCTAGTAAGTGTTATGTATCTGAGGTCAAATTTGAACTCAGGTCCTCCTGAATCCAGGGCCAGTGCTCTATCCATTGTGTCACCAACTGCCCCCAACCATTTTGCCTCTTAATTATAACTCATAAAGACTTAAAATCCTCATTAAAACTTTGTGAGCCTTCAGATTTTGTGTTGGTTTTGCAAGAAATAGTTTTGGTAGCATAATTCAGGAAGAATGTAAAGATTGTATATAGTCCACAAATACACCTGAATTTATGGATTTCTTAAAGCCACTAAATAAAAAGAGCTTTTGAATGCATTTAAATGAAAGATAACTATAAATATAGTGTGTACTGATTTCATGAAGAGTATAAATCTAACTGAAATTGAACTGTTAGTAGAATTGTGCTGAATCACTATCCACAAAGAACTTTAAATCTTCCTTAAGCTATTAGGCTCATAGCTACATTAGAGGTTTTTTTTTTTTCCCTGCTACCTTGAAATACGTTTAGATAACATTAAAGACACGGTATATGTAGAAGATTAGAAAATCTTGATAGTAGTGGAACATGTATGTTCCATGATCATCATCTACATCTGAATTAACTGGATGGAGAGTAGACCAGAAGGTCAAAAATGTTCATTGTTATGGTGGTGTACAGTGGAATTATGGTTGACAAGTTTACCTCAAATCACATTATTACCTATAGTTCTTCACACATTAACCTGTCAGTTGAGAATCAAATATTAATTATAAGCTTGAGGTCATTGAGTTTACATAGAAAAAAAGTAACATACTAAACTCTTCCAGGTAAAAATGAATGACACTACAAACAATAAAAAGTGTGAAAGCTATATTGGAGGCAGTCTAGTACATTGGGCCGGTTATATGCCAATGGTGACGGACAGGAGATGGACCATAAACAATTGATTGGGAGCCTCTGGATTCAATGCTTTAGTTGCGCTGTTTAGATAAAAATGTTAATAATGAATGTAGAGTAATTGATTCTGTTGTTCAGTGAGGGTATTTGTGATTCCCTTGGAATATGAAATAACATTTTAATCTAAAATGTTTTTGAATATTATTCATCAGAACATTTTCAGAATACTCTGCATGTTAAGGCTATATTATTACTTCATTAATGTGAGAAGTTAGGTAGATTGAAGTTACGTACTTTTTAGATTTGACTGTTGTGGTATAATTATTGGTTATGAAAATGTAAATTTTGTAGGTTTAGACAATTGTTTATTTTTATCCTTTCTGGAATTTTCTATGAGAATTTGGCAGATTTGTTCTTTTTCTTTTGATGTTTAGTGTGTTTTGTTAAGTGCTTTCCCTTGATTTTGTGTTTTCTAAAATTGAATGGAGATGGGATTTCATAATTTTGAATATGTTACATGTTTTGTGGCAGTATTTTTCCACATGTAATCTTTCTGAACTTATTTCAGGTGTAATTATTGAAACAGATGTAATAGTAGATACAGATGCCATGAAGAATTCTGACACAGAAACACAAGCAAATATGCCTGATGTTCCATACGAACCAGACCTCGACATCGAAATCGATTTTCCTAGAGGTACTGAAATATCATTATATACTTTTATTATATTTTTGTTTTATTTTTATAATTTTCCAGTCACTTAAAACTGTAGCATCACTGCCTTTGTTGCCTGGTTCCCTTACTCATTACCTGGAATGGTACAGAAATAGCAAAAAGGCCCTATAGTAGATTTGTTTGGTACCAGTAACAATTGACTAACCTGAATGAGCATGTCATATCTAGGAAACACAGTTGTAGGTTTTCACTAGAATCATAGGAGAGTGGTTCTGAAGTAGTGAGGATTGAACAGGTAGTGTCTTGGGAACTTTTTTGAAAATCAAGACACTATATTTATACTAAGGAGGAAAAGATTAGTTTTTATGTATCTGCCTAGGAAGTTGTCCTACCATGTCGCAGAAGTATCAAATTCTTAGGTATTATCCAGGCAAAATAAAAAATGAAATGAAATAACCAGAATATGTATATCAGTGTGAATTCTTTGTCAGAAGTTACTTTTGACTACAAGGCATACATGAAGTTTTGTAATCTAGCAACAGTTCTATTTTGGGCCCTGTTGTAAGCATCTTGTCTTTCAGAGCTCATGAAATTTTTCTTATTCGTTTTAAATAATCATCTATGGATTTCATGCTGGAATTGTCTCTAATTATAGTTTTCATTTGGTTATAAAAGAGCAGATTTGCTACTTTATTCTTTTTGGGGGGGGGGCGCGGCAGTGAGTGATTGACCTCTCTCCTGGGAAGTGCAGAATGAAAACACAGCCTTACCCAGAACCCAGCCAGGGCTCGTTTGATTTGTAGTCCATCTTAGTCCCCATTATTATTGTAGTTCTGGAACTTAAGACACTTTATATTTTTATGGGAAAGTAACTTAATCTACTTTTTAGCTGCTGAGGAGCTTGACATGGAAAATGAATTTCTATTACCACCTGTCTTTGGGGAAGAATATGAGGAGCAGCCACGACCTCGGTCTAAAAAGAAGGTATAAAATTACAGCTGTCTGCTTCATTTGTTGTGTGTGGTCTTTACTATACCCTTAAGATAAGGAGAAAGTGATCTTTTACATTTTTTTCCCTTAAATTTTAAAAAATGTTTTAAGAGGTGTCATACATAGGTTATTTTGAAGTTACAAGGGCCTTTTCTATCTGGTTCATCTGTAACTTTTTAAAAATAAGTTACTTTACTTACTTAATATTTTACTTATTCTCATAATATACTGTCATTAAACAGTTGCTCAAAAAAATAAAAGTCAGTTCTTTGAACAGGGTGGTTTATGAATATAGATGGCTATTAGAACTAGATAGAGGTATACAGAGATTAACCTAATCGATTTGACCAATAATTTTTCCTGCAGGAGTAGTATCATTGAGTATTTATCACCAGGTTTCTAGATTTAGATTTTCTGAGGTATATCACATCCATTATGGGTCATTGAAACACTTAACTTTGGTAGTTTTAAAAATAATAATTGCTTGTAGGGAACCTGATTATGCGTGCCTATCGTCTCAACGGTAGCTTTTGGAATTTCCTTTCTTTTTTGATGCACAATTAGTTTTAGGTTATGTGTTCATTTAAGGATGCTTTCTAAAAAATAATACCCATCCTGCATTAACTTCCATTTGGAAGACAAACATACTTAAACTCATGTTATATTTTCTCAAAAATGGAGTGATTGTAGAAATGTGATATTCCTGAAGTGACATGTTGGTGGTACTTGAAAGTTTTCTTAACATCAGAAATGTTTTTAAATTCGAAGTATGCAGCTTGTTTTAATATGTATTTTATTTCATCTACATTGCTCAGTGTATCCCTTCTCCCTCCTCAGGAGACAATCCCATATTAGAAGGAAGGGAAAAACAGTTTCCAAAGCTAACAAAAATATTGAGTCTTACTTTATATATAGTATTCCATAGTTACCCACTTTTTGTGGGTGGATGGGTGGGGAGGACGTCTTCTTATATCTCTTCTTAGGGGCCAAACAGTCGTAATTTCACTGCATTCAGCAAAATTTGCAACTGTTACAAGCTTTACTTAACAATTTGAAAATTGTTTTTAAGAGTGGTGATTTGTTACATGCAAAAGAATTTAGGTTTAAAAATTTAAAAAAAAAGTTTACACTGTTGTTTCATTAACAGGGAGCAAAGAGAAAAGCTGTATCAGGATACCAGTCCCATGATGATAGTTCTGACAATTCGGAATGCAGCTTTCCTTTCAAATATACATATGGTGTGAATGCATGGAAACACTGGGTCAAAACTAGGCAACTTGATGAAGATCTACTGGTATCAGATGAACTGAAATCCAGTAAGTATTTTGATTTTGTTTCCTTAGAATTTTATCTTTTGAGCTAGGCTTTTGATTGCTATTTTCATATGAGGGGTGGAGAGGTGGGAGAAGAAACCCAACCAAAAAGAAATCTGTATGAATTAGATTGAATCTTAATGTGTTTGTTTGTAATACTCATAAATTAGTTTTAACCGCGTCGCTATATTATTTTTTTTTCTAGCTAAGTCAGTAAAGTTAAAAGAGGATCTGCTATCTCATACTACAGCTGAACTTAATTATGGGTTGGCCCATTTTGTCAATGAAATCCGAAGGCCAAATGGAGAGAACTATGCACCTGACAGCATCTATTATCTTTGCCTTGGCATCCAAGAGGTTAGTAATTTGGTAGCCCCAGGATATGAAGGTAGAATACTGAAAGCTAGCTTTGATGTTGAGCTTTATGGATATTATTGGTGCAGTTTTGTGAGTTGAGTTAAGAAAGCATTTTTTTTAGATACAGCAAGAGTGGAGGGATGGGGTGAGTAGTATAATTTGGACTTATGTAACCAAGGAGAGACAAAGTTCATTTCCAAGTGATATAGTCTAACCCATGACTCATTTAGTTCTGTGCACTATTCAAATGAGGTAACTGACAAGACAACAATTAGTCTAGACTCATGAGATGGACTTTCATTTTCGTTAGCAACCTCCACTCTTAAATTACTCTGTCTTAGTGAAACTCAGTTTCTCAACAAAATGCAAACTTTTATGCCACCAAGATGTGAAATGTGTGTTTTGAATTAAGCTTGTGAAGAGAGGTCTGTAGGTGAGTTAACAGGACCATTATCATCCTGGATGTTTTTCCACACTTTTTATCATTATCACATATTTCCTTTTAAACTTTTTCTGATTCATTTCTGATAATCTGAAATTTAAAACTAGCCATAGAAAGACGATTTTTCAGCCCTTGGTGATTGTTTTAACTTTTAAAAAGAGTACTTCAGTGGTAATTCATGATTAATTTAGAGTCATTAAGTACTGGTCATTTTCTGCCATAAATTACCCAAAGCTAATGGTTTTCTTTTTTGTATGGGGCTGGGAAGAGGGGAGTGGAGGAACAAGTTTTTGTTAAACACCTACTATATTCCAGGTACTGTGTTAGTAGTGAATAAACTGATTTAAAAAAAAATTATTTTATTTTTGCTAATTTTGTTATGGAAGTAAAGCCCTGATAATTTCTTGATACTCCTAACTGGCTATTTTGATTCTAATAGAATTAATTCTTTTTCCCTTTATTTCTTTAAAATTTTAGTACTTGTGTGGTAGTAATCGAAAAGACAACATATTTATTGATCCAGGTTACCAGACATTTGAACAAGAATTGAGTAAAATTCTTAGAAGTTGGCAACCAAGTATACTTCCAGATGGTAATATTCTTTTTGTTATGAATATTTTCCCTAATATTTTGTGTGCTTATTTAAAATAAACAGATATAAGGTATTAAATTGTATCTAGTTTAAGGATAGTATAAAGAAATAAAGATATGTCAGATAAAGGTGTTAATGATTTTTCTGCTCAGAGAAAATCCATAAATTAAAGCAGTTGTAATCATACAACAGAAATGTTTTTCATATTTTAAAAAGTGATTGTTCTGCTCATCCTTTCTGGAATGGAGCCATATTTTGATTCTACTCTCTTTTTAATAAAAAAGTTTGATGTTTAAAAAAAAAAAGTGATGCTATCATTTCCCCATAATTCCCTCTTTATCCCTATGGATTCCTCTGTTGTAATAAAAACAGTGAGATTACCAAACTAACACATCCACCCATGCTGTTACTATATGCCTTATTCTTCACCTATACTACTGAGTGTCTGCTGAGAGAGGGGAGTTATTTCTTGTCAGTCCTCAGGAAATCAGGTTGAAATTGTTCATTGCCTTCTGATGTCTTTTCTCGTTTCTGCTTTTCTCCTCATCAATTTTTACACTTCTTCCTAAGTTTCTTTCAATCCATAGTCATCATTTTATGGTCCAGTAATACCTCAGTATATTAATATACACCACAATTTAGTCATCCATTTTCCAATTGATGGAAAATGTTTCCCTTTTTTGGCTTTCATTCTATTTTAATGAAATGGAGGGGACTAGAGGTTGATGGTCACAGCATAAGAATGGGCCATCTTTTATCTATTTGTGCAGTTCAAAATTAACCTGAAATTTCAGATAGGAATTTTTTTTGGTCAGTGTGATAAAAATCCCTTGAATCTTTTGGTATTTTGTTTGTGATTGGCATATATTAGAAGTATAAAATGGGCTTGGGAGGGGTACATAAGATTGATTAATATTTCTTAAGGTCACTTTTATATCATTTCTCTACCTCTATTGTCTGTTGCCTTTAATACTTAATTCTTTTTTAAGGGTCAATTTTTTCTCGTGTTGAAGAAGATTATCTCTGGAGGATTAAACAGCTAGGATCACACTCTCCAGTAGCTCTTCTGAACACATTGTTCTACTTTAACACTAAATATTTTGGCCTGAAAACAGTGGAGCAACATTTAAGGCTTTCCTTTGGCACCGTATTTAGGCAGTGGAAAAAAAATTCTGTAACAATGGAAAACAAAGCATGTCTTCGATACCAAGTGTCTTCCTTATGTGGAGCTGATAGTGAAGGTAGAGTAGCCAATTTTTGTTTTGGGGCTGTTTATGACAGGGTTGTCCTTACTTTGTCTAACTGAGGGGACCCCATTGATATGCCAGGTATCCAAGGGTTATACTTAATAAAACTTCAGCAGTTCATAGCCCTGCTTTTCTTCAAAAATAATATTTGTAACATGGTGGCTACCAATTTCAGCTACATGGTGGTTGTTGTTTTTAAAACCCATGAGTTTCCATAGATTAAAATTGCCTTTGTAGCTGTCTTTGTTGTAGTTTAGACTGACAAAATAGCTGTTACTGTATGTTAATGAGCTTAGGAAGTTTTTTTTTGTTATTGTTATTTTTTGAAGATAAAATTACTACTGGAAAAAGAAAACATGAAGATGATGAGCCAGTATTTGAACAAATTGAAAATACAGCCAATCCTTCTAGATGTCCTGTGAAAATGTTTGAATGCTATCTATCAAAAAGGTAAATAGTAATGCATAATAGTATATACTGGTGTATATGAAGTCAACTGGCCATGTCTTGAAGAGTGGGATTAGGATTTTACAACTTCAGGAGCTGTTGTATTTTTTCTTATTTTTAGTTATATTTCTTGCCTTTAACTCCTTCCTCTTCAGTTTCCTGATTCACTTATATTATTCTAGACCCTTTAGTAGATCAGTCAAGTGAGAATTTTGGAATCCAAGTAGAACTTTAAGAAGGTTCTCCAAATTATTAGAATGTTCATTAATGCTTGTTATCCTTTCTGCACTTGAACTTCTGTGACACCAGTCTTGCAAAGCTATTTTGAAAAGACAAAAGTGAGAATCAAGCACTAGTAAGATTTTAAGCAGTATTACTTGGAAACAGAAGTGATGAATATAATGGCTAGTTATATCTTTTTTTTTTAAATGACCAGGGTTTTTTCTAGTATCAGATCAGAGAAAAATTGTCTTTTATTCCCTGTTTACTTTTCAATTTAGAACCCTTAGGATGTTTCCCATCTTTTTCTAATGTGGGTACTTCCTATTTTACAGATTCTCTCCTAGAAGTTCATTTTATAGTGTGAATTTTTATAGGAATGATAATACAGATGATGATTAGTAACTAGGCCAACCCCTAAATGTACTATTGAGAAATGTGATCAAACCACATTAATGGTTGGTAGTTTTGTGATGAGGATAGTGGTGGAAATGGACCTGACAACCAGTGCAATAAGAGCAACTCTCTTCAATAGCTATTTGTATGTGTGAGACTTCATTTAAAAATATTTCTCATGATTTTAATGTTGTAACTGTATGGTCTTCTCATGTACTTTGTAAAACAGTGTTAGAGCACTAATTGTCACATTCTGAGATTAATGGGTCTTGGTTAGATTCTCTAATGGGAAAAGAGAATATTGTAGGAAAATATATATTTATCATATGAAAATGATCTCTCTCTCTCTTTCTCTTTGTCTTTCTCTCTCTCTTTTTCTAATAGTCCACAGAATCTTAATCAAAGAACGGATGTTTTTTATTTGCAACCAGAGTGTTCAAGTTCAACAGACAGTCCTGTCTGGTATACTTCTACTTCACTGGACCGAAACACATTGGAAAATATGCTTGTACGGGTTCTTTTAGTAAAAGATATTTATGATAAAGACAATTATGAACTGGATGAAGACACGGATTAAAATAAACTTCGGAAGCAGTTGGGATAAAACAGCATTAGATAGTCATGCTGCTAGATCTTTATTATGGAAAACGTTTCAAGTTTACTCCTTCTGTTTTGAGTTTTGTAGCAGTGTACCCATACTGGGTATTACCATGTAAATAATCTGTGAGTGAAAGTTGCCATTATTCTATGTAGTGGTTTTAGGATACTTAACAAACACATTCAAATTCTTTTTTTTTTTTATTATTTATTTGATTAGGTATGTTTGTAACTTTTTACATTACAAAATATGAATGAGAATGTGCCATGTGTAATTTCTTTTCTTGTAGTAAGAAACATCCATATTGCACAACTCCACTGTCGCCAAGCTTCCTTGGAAGGGGGCTCTTTTACCGGGTTCTTAACCCAGTGGCTGTCTATGGGTTAGCACTACTAAAGTTTAGAACTTGCAGTGTCTTTCAGAATTTTTAAATAAACTGTAAACTAATAGTTTTTTTTTTTTTTACTTTTTAGTTTCTGAAGCCTTACAAGGTTATGTAGAGAGATTCCATCTTATGTACCAAAAATAGACAAAAGAATGCTGTCAATATTGGTGTACTGTAATGTGAATCTATACTGGTGAAAACAACTCTCTTGTTCCCCTCATTAAAACCTTAGTGTCCTTTCCTCATTTGTGACTTTCTGCATCGCCCCAATAAATAAAATAAATATAAAGAATGACTATAAGTTTAAAGCACATACTCATCAAGACATTTACTTTGTAAAAATGTCTGATGAAATTGCTGTAACTGTCTTCTGTTTTCACTAGCCAAGCATAAGTACCCGAATATCCTTAGCATTCTATTGTAGTTTTTTTTTGCCCCATGTAAATGGACCATAATGCAGTATTAGCTGGAATAATCTGAAACTTTCCCAGTCTATCTCTTGAGTTCACTTATCTGCACTCAAAAATAACTGATGAAATATTATATTGAGTAGAGTTGTTTCAAGCAATACAACCCCAGAAGCAGTAGTTAACAAAAGTTGGGCTTATGTAAATAAGATGGTCTCACATTTTCAGAATTACCAGTGTGGTAATTCTGATACTTTGGATGCTTGTTAGTACAACTCATTAATGTCTAGAGTTCAAATATTAATAGAGAACAATGAAAGAAAGGATTAAGGTGTATCTCAGTGGGAATCATATCTGCTGTTAGATTGTCTTTTAAAATTCAAATTACTTCTTATAGAAGATTACATTAAAAGGCTTTGTGCTTCTGCGTAGCAATTTATACTTTAAGACCCTTTCTTTGAAAAGAAAGAAGTTCATTTAAAATTGTACTTTCCCAGGATACTGAGAAAAATGCTAATTGCAGATCATCAGTAAGAACATATGGCTAACTAAGCATATGTGTAGTAATATTTTCTTTATAGTTACTGAAACATCATGATAACTAATGTAGATTATTTTGCTTGCGGGGAAAATCAAGCTTATTCTCCACAGTGCCCAAGAAATTGCTACATATTCCTAGAATATTCTGCCCTCTTTTGTCAGAAAGATATTTAGTATACCTTACAAAAATATTCATCATTTAGAAAAAATTCACAGGTACAGTGATAATATATACTCAGGCAATAATTATTTGAATTGTTTTGGGCTTATGAAACTTACTTTATAATGCTCCATGTCCTTGAGATTTTTAATAAGTCTCGATAACTTTTCTATTCCTTAATGTGTTTTATATTTGTTGATTAAAAAAAATCAGGTTGCCAGTAGCAAATCTTGATAGCACTTTTCTAAAATAGATTGCTACTTTTCTATTTAACTGAGTAAGCAGGTCCCAGTTTATAATGCAAAAAATGACTGTCTCAATCTTTTCCCAATTTTTAGAACATTAATCATAATCAGGCCCTTACAAATACTTACACTTTAGCTACATATTGATGACATTAGAAAATAGTTAATACAAATACCCTTTTATTCCACATAAAATGGTGCTACTAATCTATCAAGGGCAATAATGTTTTTTTTTCCAAATGTCTTCTAACATGCAGTTAACCAAATATAAATAATTGGCATGATATCAGTGAGCAAGAAGGTTCTGCCATACTGCTATTTACATTAACCATTTTTTTCCCCCACAATTTTAATGATGATTCAAAAATATCTATTTTCTTGAATTGGCAATATAATTCAGACCTTGACACAATTCAAGATTTAAATTATAAACTTTATTTTAGCCCAGCAATTGTTTATTTTCCAAAATTAGTTAATTGTAATATGGAAGTTTTACTAGTCTGAGGTTCTTCTTCCAAACCACATTTCCTTTCATTCCTGGGTTGTTGTTTGTGTAGTTATAGATGCCATTGAGGACATGGAGGTTCTCTATTGTTCTTTGGTGATTTTTGAATGTAGCATTTGGTAAACATGACTTTGCATTGTCTTAAATATGCTGGGCTGTGAGAGCTGCTGGATTTTCTTTGGGGTGGGGGCGGGAGCTTGTTCACAGAGTATATTTTGCCATCATTGAGTACAAGTTATCCTCACCACATTAAGTAAAATGATTTTCTTAGATAATTGAGTCTCCATAACTCATTCCTTTAAGTTGTTTTTTTTTTTAACTTTTGTTAGAAGGCAGGCGAAGATACTAAAAGAGTTTGGTTAGGTAAGAAGTTTAATATCTTTATCACTATAATAATACTTGATATTTAAATAGTTTTTTTTATCTGTAAGTTGCAAGAACTGGTTCATGGTTTTCTTTTTATTAAAAAGTTGTTACTAATTTACATGGTGTTACATGGTGAAATTCTGGAATGGGAAGAAGGTGTATATTGTACTATGCATTTGGATGTTTTCAGTATTTTCCTGGCAGTTAACTGGGATTTGATTTTTTTTTTTCAGTTTATTTATAACATTTAAAAAATAAATAGAAGAGCTATCCCCAAATTGAGAAATTTTAGGTTATTTCATTCACCAATGTCCTGGGCCTATTTTTTAAAAGATTTTTTTATTGTCTAAGACTATCATAAGCATTTATTAAGGAACAATTTAATTTTATCTATTACAAATGTCAGTTATTCTTGGTTCCAGTAAGTCAGCATTGCCCCAGTCATCCTTCAGTACACACAAACATTTTGAAAACCTAAATTTTTTTTTTTAGTATTTAAGAATTAATTTCCTTTCCTCAATTACAATTTTAATCCTGGACTTTTCCCTTAATAAGTTCTCTCCTATTTCCTGGATTACTCTTTCTTCCCTTTCACTGTGTTACCTTGCTTTCAACGAAAACCTGTCTGTAGAAGGAATGAGAGGTGAAATTTTATTAGTATTAAAATTTCTCATTTTTCTCATTTAACTCCTAGTGATGACCCTGCTTTTTTCTTAAACTCAAGTCTGCTTGTTCTTCCCACACCGGTAAGCAGCCAGTACACGTAGAGGTGGAATCTTTACCAGCTTTTCTCAGCTTCTTGTTAAGTAATATATGTCCCTTCATATACATAAATATTCAAATGTTGACCACAGCCTAAATATATTAAAATCTACCTCTCAAATTCAGAAACAGACTTTTTATTGGCTGGTTGTAATATCTTAAAGCTGGGGGCAAGAAATAACAGTTCTGGCCATATAAAGTGTGTCCTGAAAATCTCAGTATAAAATCCTTAGTAAACCAAGTTATATTCTAAAGTGATTCATAAAATGAATCTTTGAGGGTAAATTGACCAAAGAAAATGCTTAACATGCAGATGATAAGATAATAATGATAGGGCCAAGGAGAGCTTCAGTATAATAATAATTAGCAGATTTTTGTCCTGAGGAAATAGCCCTGGATTTATATTCAGACAGAGTTCAGTTTCTGCTCATTGTAGGTAATGGAAAGCAGTGTTACATCTTAGACATAGAAGTGACAGTCTAGAAGCACTTTTCTGGTTGAGTTAAATCATTGATTTCAGGGCATTTTTTAAAAATGGTCACTGCTGGTTACTTCCACTGGAAGGCATCAGATATATGACTTAATGCTTTCTATGTGATTTGTGAACCTGTATTTATGATTTTATTCCTGCACGAAAAATAACTTTAATCCTTAAGGTTTCTACATATATTTAGTTTTCTTAGGGACTTAGTTTCCTTAAAGTAGCACAAACGTTTTCATTCTCTCAAATGTGTGTGTGTGTGTGTGTGTGTGTGTGTGTGTGTGTGTGTGTGTGTAGGACCTAATTTTGAAGGACCTATACACAAGTACCCTTAAATACAAATAAATTTAATACATGAAAACTCACTAGCAGTTATATCAGTAAGCATTTATTAAACATGCCTATTCTGTCCCCAGCATCTTATTAGTGTGTGGTGTAATAAAAGAAGCAAATGATGTAGCTTTCTAACATATTTTGGCCTGTATGGTTCAAAAAGGAGTGCCATAGAGAGGTGAAATATTACTGTGGAGCAGGGCTAAGGAAAGATGAAACCTGGAAAGAAGTAGATCTTTTTCTAATATGGGAGCTACATTGCATACTAGAATCGAGCAGGTTTTTCAACCCCACCCCACCCAACAACCCCCAGCTAATAAAAAATGCTATTATGATCTTAATTTCACCTCACAAAAAATAATCTGGTTTTAATAGTGGTACTAACTGGCCTTGGTCTAGTAGGAATAGTTTAAAAAGATGTGGAAGGGGACCCAAAAGAATTCTGACCCAAAGGTCAGGCCAAAAGGTTTGTGACCCAAAGAGGTGGCTCTACAGGTCACAGGGATGTTGTGCTGTTGAAGTATTCCGGAATGAATATGGTAGAGCAATTTTATGCCAATCTAGTGTTGCTAAAACACAAGCCTGACCTAGGCTACAACCCATACATTACCCATACCTTCATTGAATACTTACCTCCCCCCACTTCTTTTTTTCTTTTAAACTACCCTGAACAGTTCAACTGATTCCATAGGGGGATTTGTTTCTATTGGAAATCTTTTTTCAGTATGCAAATGAAAAATTGGGGGCAGGATATCAGTGCAAAAGCCTTGGGCAACTTTTCAGGGTAGCTGTTAAGTAGAAGAATGGCTATTAACAGTGAGGATGAGTGTTCACAGTTCTTTCATCAGAGGATTGTAACCATATGTTTGTAGTACTGCATGGAAGCCAGCAGATGGCAGCAGAGACCAACATGATAACTGGTTCTAAAATTGTGTGATCACTGGATCATCTATTTGGAAGGATTTCAGAGGCTATGTAGTTGAACACCATCTTTCTACAGAAAATGGGCATAGGGAGTTTGATTTGCCTAAGGCCACACAAAAATGAAGAGGCATAGAATTTGGACCTAGGTTCATTGGAGCCAGTGTTCTCTCCATATATTCCCTCAAATGCTTTCGTTTCTGTTGTCATATTAAGTAAGGTCAGCGGATGTCATATTCTAGGTACTGGCATTTAGGAATCATATGAATGTTGGCAGTGATTATGTTTGCCTTCCAAATAAAACTTTTACAGTTTTAGTGTTACCAAATCACCTTAGTTTATGGAGCATCTTGAATGATACACATGCTAGCAAGGCTGCAAAGGCTAATTGGATTGATTGTAATGGAAAAGGATGCTTTTCCTTTGACCTGGGCAATAGTTGTAGATGGGTAACCTGGCTTTGGAGACCTCAGTAACCTGAATCATTAATTGATACTTTATTACATTGTCCCTTGTTGCTAATTGTCAAAATAAAAAGAAACCAGTCAGCTGGAAATTACTACAAATCAAAAATGATTAGTGAAGGTTTTGTGTGTTTTTTCAGTGGTACTTCCAAATATACAAAAAGCTCTTTAGAGAATCTGAAGTCCAAAAGAAACAATTTGCAAGCATGACCTAGGTGTTCCTGTCCTGCTTCATCGATGCTTGGATATCTCAAGTCCTTTTCTTGGGTATATGAAGAAATATTTGTCAATTTCCATGTGGAAGGATAGGGCAAGTATGTTTAATTTTCTTGCCACTGCTGTTTAGCATTCCTGTCTGTTCTTCCAGTCTTCTATTTGTGAGGTTTTGGAAGGTTATGGACTTAAGATTCAGTGCTTGTGGAATTGGGAATTCACAGGTGCAGGGTTACATTCTATAGGTATTCACTCAGCGTAGAACAAAACAGCATGTTCATCTGGCACGGATGTGACTGCATGCATCCTTCTGGAAAAAAAAACTTAAGTTTTTGTTTTTTTAAATATGCTATAAACAGAAGTTAATGTCAGAGATGGAGAACAATCCCAACTAGCACAGCTTCCACTGATCTCCCTCTTCACATCTTTCAATTCTATCTTCACTAAGGGGGAGAAAGGAAAGGAGAGAATCTTGTTAATCTTGTTACCTGAACTTAAGGTGGGTCTGCCATCCCACTTAAGATGCTGTAATTTTATCCTTCTGCACTCCTAACTTTTGTGTGGCTGTTCAAACAGCTTGTGCAAAGTTGCCTGAATAGTAGAGCCTGTATTCTAGTAACAGATTTGGGGCAGAGTGGATGTGAAAATGAGGTAGTTATGGCAGCTGTCCTTTGTTTTTTGTGTGTGATTCAGTTTTGAGTTGATGACAGTTGCACATAATGGAAGAAAACTTAGTAAAGTACCTAACCTACTTACTTCAAAAGTGTTGATGAAAAGACTATTTTTAACTGATACTTTTCTGGGACAGCAAATCAAGGAAAATGCTTATTTTATAAAGGTTCCAGAATAATGTTAAAATAGCTAGCATTTGTTTTAATGGAACTCTTAAATATAGTAGTCCTTATTGGATAGAATTTTGAAAATATGAAAATTGACCAGAAGAAGTTGAATAATTTTTCAAATTAAGGCTAGCTAAAGCTCATAGTAATTAAAGATGGTATTTTTAATCTCTTCTAGGAACTTGTCTAGTTGACTGTTGATAGCATCTTTGTGTAAATAATGGGCTTTGTGAAAGAGACTGAAAGTTGATTATTATGGTTGAAGATCTCTGACCTTTCTCTAGTCATTAAATAGCTACCACTTTGTTCCAGTGAGACTGACCCATCTGGCCTTGAATCCTATAGCCAAATATTTTCTCACTTTCCATAGTGTATGTAGTGTAATCTGCTGTTTCTATGAAGCATTCTGTGACATGGTAAAAGAATAGAAACTCAACCAAACTATATAGCATTTGTACATACTAATACATATTTATCTTGTATTCATCTTGTATATTTGTGATTTCCACTTGTAGTCAACTCAAACTGAATGTGCCTAAAACAACCAACTGGTACCCCCAGCCATCTCTACACACATTTCTCTTCTGGTGCTATTTCCCAACAATGTAAGTTTGAAACCTCAAAGACAGATCTGAATGGCGAAGGTAAGGAGGAAGTCAAGGTCAGGAAAGGCTTCTTGGGGTAATGAGCTCTTCTTTTTGGGTTTTTCGTAGCCAGAAATTAACCTGACAGTGCAGTGAGGGTCTTCCTGGCACAGAGAAAGCAGCTTGAACAAAAGTATGCAGGATAATTTGCCCTAAGCATAAAGTAGGATTACAAGGCTGGTGCCCAGAGCCACCACCTCTCTGATCCTAGGCTCCTCCAGACTCCAGAGCTATTATACAAACCATTACTAA